AGGGGGGTGATATGAGTGCCAGATGGCTGAAAAGGAGCTTCTGGCTCTCCTGGATATTTGTGTCCACGGACGAAAGGCTTCCGAATAGCTGTGGACATCCCGACCTCATCACGACACGATATTTCCTCCATGCAAAGTGTCCTGGGATCTTGCTGAAGGAATGGAAATATTAAAAATATCAGCATTCCTTTTACAGATTTGTCTATCTTGTCCTGTACCATCTTATCTCTTGAGATTTCAGGGTGGGATGGGTGAGAATAATTGAAGGCACAGAGACAAAAGTGAAGTAGGGAGGTAACAAACTTTATCTAAGGCTCTCGGGAAAGGATAAACAGGACATTCCTAGTAAAATAATAAACGACTAAAACTACATAATGAAACATACCCAAATAGTAAAAGGAAGCAGGGCGACGGCAGCTCAGGCAATGTCTTCAGGCGAGCACACGCGTCTCGGTCTCGCTCTCTCGATAAGCATCAGTGTGGGAATTTCTTAGAGTCAGGCCAAAGCAATGAACCCCTTTTACCAGGAAGAGAGACAGACCTTTTTGGCTCTAAAGTGGGTCGGACTTCCAGTTAAGACAAGCGCATCAGCCCCACAGTGGCTAGGAAGAAGATCCTGCCATATCCCGGCAGGAGGTAGCCACCCAAAACGCATTGGGCCCATTCAGAGGAATTCGAGGAGATGGGGCCACCTGCAGAAAGCCACAGCCCAACAGTTCAGAGCCAGGAGTGAGGGAACTGCCAAGCAGAAGCCAGTACAAGCGTTATCATCACTCAAGCTGTGTGATCATCCTCATCATTCAGAGGCAAAACATGCCACTTAGTACATATATCTCGCCCCAAGGACAGCCGTTCTGTCTGTCTCTTCCACAGCAGAGGCTCCACAGCTGTGGGTCAGCCTGGGTTTTTTCAGGAAAGGGGTGGCATTCAGGCTGCCCCTCCGCTTCTCTTTCAGCTGAGAGATGTTTATGGGATTTTGTCCTCCCCCCCCTTTCTATTCCCTTTCCAGTCCAGATCCGGATCACTGGGAAGACAGGTGGCTCTGAGGAGAAGTTTCTAAATTGTGTTTCAGAGCACCTGTCCCACAAAGGAGTCTCTCTGAAGGTGGAGAAGTTTAAGGAGACCTCGAAGGACCCCCTTCTGCTCTTCTGCCCCATAGCTTCCCGCATGGGCGCCGACATCGAAAATGCCCTTGAGGGGCTCAGTGGTGAGTAGCTGCTTCTGAGGGTGGGGAGTAAACCTCGTGTCCCTTTCTGGCTGTCAGACTGTTGGCCGACCTTAGGGCAACTTCAGGGTGAAGAATGGAATGAATACCCACACATTTTCTCTTCCTTGATCAAAAAGGAATCTTCTTGAGGCATCAAGACACCCCATCCAAACATTTGACAACTGCTCAGTGAGTTTTGGCTCCTTATGGAAAGAGTGGAAAGACTAGCCCTGTCGCAGAAAAATTGAGTTTTGTTGTCCTCTGGCGGGTCCTAGTGCAAAGAAACCCTGTAAGAGGGAGAGAAAAAGGCATGCCCAGCATGGAAAAGAAAATTAAAAATCCAGTTTATTGAAATGATATGTAGGTCAAGAGACAGACAGGTTATGGAAGCCCAGATCAACCTGCCTCCCTGTTTTCAGTTTTCAGGGAGCCTAGAAAGGTTGTTAGTTACGAAACATCAAGTGTTGCAGATAAAGTGTCAAACAAAGTGTTTGTCCAAAGCTGTCTCTACCGGAGATGCGCAAAACTGGTTCGAAGAGATCTCCTCCTGAGTTTATCCTGTTGTTTGTCAAGGCTAAGTAAGGCATAAAAGTCAATTTGACACAGTGCAAAGGTTCACCTTAAAATTTGGTAATCTCTGTATGCTTAGGTTGGTTCCTCATAGGCCATGACACCCTTATCTCAGAATGTCAGAGTAGCCAGAAGTCGGGAAAAGCTTATAACAATAGACCACGGAGGCCTCTTAGCATTGGTAGCCCCTTACCTTATGCTAGGATATAAAGATGTACAAATGCAGATTTGAAAGACTAAAAAACTTTACAACAACCCTGTTTTTCTGTAAGCAGCAACAGTTGTGGGGGGGGGGGGATGTCTTTTCACACAGATTGAAAGGTCCTTTCTCCAAAAGAGAAAAGTCCAGAAATGCAAGTAAAGCACCTAATTTCCCATAATCGTTGAAATATTTCATCTTCCTGCAGGTGTAGGCTGTTGGAGGGGGCTCTGTCATAAGACCAGAGGGAAGTGGAACTTGGGGGGAAAGGGATAAATAACAAGCACCTTTTTGCTAGCAGCCTTTCCCTATCTTGGCCACAAGCAAGCTAATTAGCACTGACTGACAATCCACTCTGGCTGCAAGGCTGATGACCTCATCACCTGCAGGCCTCACACTGTAAAGCTTCCTCCTCCCCTTTTCTCCCAGTTTCCAAGGCTCCCCAAGGAGGGCATTCAGCCTTTGGGAGCCTTTGGGAAACCATTAGAAGCAAGGGGAGCCTCTAATGCCCAACTCCCAGCAGCAGCCGTTCTCAGACCTTAAAGGCTCCCCATGGCCTCACAGCTCCCAAAGGGCTCACCAGGGAGCTTCGGAAGCTGAGTTTGGAACAGACAGGAAACTTTTAATAAAAGAGGAGGCTCTGGGGCAGAAGGCATCATCCGTCTTTATGGCCCTGGAGTGACTCAGCAAAGTGTTGGCTCTCTACTTGTCCCCATTCACAAACATCTGCAAGCGGAGGAGGCCTCTGGAGAGGTTCACAGCCGCTGGGCCCTGATTCAAGACGTGGGTCAAGAAAGATGAACAGGAAGGTGATGTCCAAGCTGGGATCTCAAAATGATTTCAAAAAAGAAAGAGGGGAGGGAAGGTTTGGGTGAACCACCCACTTCTGACCCACTGCTGCAAGTGAGGAATATGGGAGTGTTTCCATTTTAAAAAATAGTCTTGGCTTTGAGGATGGCACAGTCCATTTTGTGGCTTTCACTTCCCTCCTCTCACCTACAGCACCCCTGGTCTATGATCCAGTGGGTCACCCCACGTCAAGGACTTAGAATCTCTCCCATAGTTGCAAATATTTCTTTTGTGGCCATCAAAGGGCTAAGGGGCTCACTCATCAGCATGAGTCTCCTCCTGCCCTAGAAGGGTCCCTCAGGGCCAGCTTTTGGGGGGTCCACCCTTTTCCTCTAGAATCCCTCCAGGCTTAATCTTACAGTTGCTCCTCTCCTTCTTCTTCCAGGTGAGCAGAAGGTCCTCCTGGTGGTGATGCACTTTGTTCAAAAGGACAACCCAGGGACCCCTGCGGACGCTGAGCACCAAGTGACCCATCCGGCCGTGGTGGGGACCGTGCACACCCGCTACACCCTCAAGGACGGCTTCTACCCTTGTGAGATGAACGAGGCGGCCGTGGCTGACGTGGCAGCTGCCCTCAAGGCCCTGGCTGAGGATCAGTGAGGGGAGACTGGGCTCCTCCCCATGTCCTTCTTGTGTGATGTCATCTTGTAGGAGAAGGGGATGCTTTTAAGACACAGGTGGGGATTGTCCTTGCAGACTGGGGGGTGGGGTGGGATTTATACACCTTCAGCTGAAGAGAATGCTAGTAGTGATCAGGCAGATATAAGACATCCCTGTTCTTCTCGGCGTGGGCAGACCCACCTGGAGGAGCCTCAGGCTGGCTGGGCAGACCTGGCCACGTGTGCTTTTTGTGT